CCCGCCATCCCCGGCCCCAGCACCCAGCCAGCAGCTGCCTGCCCTCCCCCTCCAGGCAGGGGACCCCCGCACCCGAGCTGGGGTCCCCTCTGCGACCCTGGGCTCCGGGCGCCCCGGAGTGGCGCAAAGACCCCCGTTTGTCACCTCTTCCATTGCTGCTGGGCTGGGAAATGGGTGATTCGGGCCCAGACAGGAGCACACCCAGTGGGGTGGGGGTGCTCAGAGGGAGGGTGACGCTCCTTTGGCATGGGCTGGGTGCTGGGGGCTTCCCTCTGGGCAGGGGTCCCTCCTGGAGGTGCTCCTCGCTGGTCCCTTTGCCGAAGCCTGAGCCCCTGTCCCTGTTGGTCTGTGTGTCCCCCCAGGTTGATGATCCCTGCTGCTGCCCTGGCCAGCTGCCTGCCGTGACCCTGGGAAAGCAGCGATGGAGGGGTTTGGGGGAGCCCCCAGGTTCCTGGCCTATCCACGTGCCTTCACGGTGCAAAGTGGCACTGACGCCATCCTGAGCTGCCAGATCACGGGCGACCCCCGGCCAAGCATCCTCTGGGAGAAAGACAAGACCCCAATCGAGCCCTCGGGCCGTTTCCACGTGGAGGCCAAGGGGGACCTGTACAGCCTGCTGGTGTCCCGTGCAACCCCCCAGGACAGTGGGCTCTATGTCTGCAAGGCCAAGAACAGCGTTGGCGAGACCTACGCCGCCGCCACGCTCAAGGTGGAGGTGGGGGAGTCCCAGGAAGAGGGATGCTCAGGTAGCGAGGCGCTCGCCTTCCTCGTTGCCCCCTCGTCAACGCGGGTGTGCCAGGGGGAGGATGTGATGTTCACCTGCAGGGTGTCCGGGCAGCCCTGCCTGGTGCTGGAGTGGGAGAAGGACGGACACAAGCTCTCCGACCTCTTTGAAAGCAGCCACTTCATGGTGGGGCAGGAGCCAGAGGACTGGCACTTCCTGAAGCTGTTCGGTGCCCGGCCCCCGGACGGGGGGGTGTATGTGTGCCGGGCACGCAGTGGCTCCCAGGAGGCCCTGGCTGCTGCTGTGCTCCTGGTTGAACCCCGGGTGCTGCCGGATGGGCTCCCCAATGGCTCTCCTGCTGACGGTCCCGAGCCGCTGGTGGAGCGGCAGCAGCGGCGGCAGCGGCATGTGGCAGGACGGCACATGGGACCGGAGACTCGGGTGCCCAATGGCGCAGTGCTGGCCAGGGTGCCGGGGGCCAAGGGGTTTGCCGTGAGCACGGGGAAGCACGCCAAGTTTCGCTGCTATGTCACCGGCAAGCCCAAGCCAGAGATCGTCTGGCAGAAAGATGGCGAGCCCCTCACCCCCAGCCGCAGGCATCTGATCTACGAGGACCGTGAGGGCTACTTCATCCTCAAGGTGCTGTACTGCAAACCCCAGGACCAGGGGCTGTACGTCTGCACCGCATCCAACACCGCTGGCCA